GAGACAGCAACAGTCACTCAGATTCCGATGGGGCGATGGGGTAAAGGACCATCTTTTTTGCTAAGCGAAGCGATATTGTGGCTTACAAAGGCTAGATCAGGGTTAAAATCATGTCTCCAGCGTCCCCTGTGGAAAGACGTCGGTAGTTTTACATTGAGAATTAGGCTCAGTTGACTTATAGTTTAGTGTGAAAAAAGGGGTTATCGTGCACCCTCGAAAACCAACTTCTAATCAACGTCTTTAGATCAGAAAAAAATGCACAAAAAACGATTTGCTATGTTACAAAACGTATGTCCAACGTATTGTTTTTATGCAAATTAGTGCCGCCATTACCCAAAAATCTATGTTCACTATATCTCAGCCAACATTGCAAGTAACTGAACAAATTAGGTGCGTAAACCCATGCTTTCAAGGTCAGAGATCACAATAAAACTATTCTGGAAGTGACCACATGTGTCTGTGGCATAGAAATATGCAAATTAGTGCCGCTAATAACGGAAAATCATGTTTTTGTCATATTTCAGCCAATATAGGACGTGTTTAGCATGTGTATCGACACACAGGCTCCTTACGTCAAAACGGATAGTTCAGACGACGATTTCTTTCTGACTAAAAGTAGATTTTGCAGTGAAAGCGGAAAATCTGACAGTGAAGATGCATTGGTAATTATCGGAAAACAAATTTTCACGCAGACGGTCCTATTCATGCTCATTATGGAGAGCAACTGTCCGACATGTTCAAAGTGTGGATTCGTGATTCCGAATCCACACTTTACTAAAGATTCGCCGTTCCGAATCCACACTTTGTGACCAGTGTAAGAGATTTGAAGATCCGAATCCACACTTTTAACAATAGTGTGACGTCATAGCAATGGTTTAAACTATGTGAATTCAAAGTATTAAATGAGCTTTAACATGCAGTATATCATTCCTACAGTTTCAGATATGTTCAAGTCTTCATCCAGTGTAAAATGTCACATAAACCAAAGACACTGTGTTTGCAAGTTTATCCAGAGACATCCGTCTTGACATTTAAACATATGATCCACGAGAAAATTGATGTCCAGCCTCGACAACAGCGATTGTTTATCCGAAGAAACTTTCGTAACTTTGAGGTAAAGATGGCTTGAAATTGTATATGATGTAAAGTACCATTCAAATCCCATCAGATAAAAGGCCATGATTGGGGGTTTTAGTGACAACCTCTGCCGTTTCAATATTACATGTATATTTCAATATAGCAGCTTCTGATGCCGGTATATACAATATTGTTTAGCACTTAAGAAACGATCAACGATTTGTTGTTTTAATATGAAGATTTACGGTGACATCATGTGACGAAATCTCTTCTGTTTCTTCGTGACGATCGAAAAGGCTATTTGGTTTTAGCTCCACTGATTCACTCTGACGGTAAGAATACACCACGGCAAAACAGATGTGTAATCCCAACCACCAAACTGTAGTTTTAAAAACCTACGTTCTAAAGAGTGTGCGTTATGTGAGGATTTAACACTTGTTTTGCCAGCTTTGTAACTTGCTGACACTTCAGGACTGTGGCATTCATCAGGACGAGAACATCTCACTCCGTCTGTGTACTGACGACCTACTGGGCGGTGCACCAACAGGTAAAATGCTCGTGAAATTTAACCGTTCAACGTTAGAAAAACCGACTGGAGTTATACCTTTACAATGTAATTTTTTTGGTCGGTGGCGGCAACAGGAGCAGAAGCAAAAACAAAAACAAATAATTAAGTTCAAAACGAACGACCAAAGAACAATTCCATGGGAAAATCAAACACGGTGCATGTATTACGATTAAATAGCGCGAGATCATTAACGAATGTATGTATGCCGTACAAGATACGGTCCAATCCGCTTCATCGACTGAACGAGTCTCTCCCTGATATGAAGCCCGGGAAGGGACAGTGTAGAATTTTTGGGGGGAATTTGCTAATTCGTTCGCACGAATTCCTAATTCGTTCGCATGAATTGCTAATTTGTTCCCACGAATTCCTATTTCGTTCGCACGAATCCCTAATTCGTTCCCACGAATTCGTAATTCGTTTGCACGAATTGCTAACTCGCTCGCACGAATTGCTATTTCGTTGGCACGAATTGCTATTTCGTTGGCACGAACTGCTATTTCGTGGGAATGAATTGCTAACTTGTGCATCCGGGAACGCGTTAGTAATTCGTGGGAACGAATTAGCAATTCGTGCGAACGAATTAGCAATTCGTGGGAGCGAATTAGCAATTTGTGCGAACGAATTAGCAATTCGTGCGAACGAACTAGCAATTCTCGCGAACGAATTAGCAATTCGTGCGAACGAATTAGCAAATCGCCAAACAAAATTCTACCCTGTCCCTTCCCGGGCTTCATACCCTGAGCTGTATGTGCCGGCAAGAAATACTCGGCTTGCATTGTCTCTGCATCCGCTTACTCTGCAGCCGATGAGATGTCGCACCAGCCTGTTCCAGCGTTGTTTCTTGCCCAGTGCTGTACAGCTATGGAATTCCTGGTTATACATGTATAGCAGGCAGTGTGCATACTTTTAAGTCAATGGCCAACAATAATCTGAGGTCTAGTGAATTATATCTACACTGTTAAACAGATTGGGCAATTTTGCTTGCCCTAAATTGGTGTAAATATCAAATTCCCAACTTTTGGTCACTTAATGACCAACTGTCATTGGCAGGCCATTTTGACCAGAACATGGGTAAAATATAAATTGCCAGCTAATGATCAGACAGCCTTTCCCAATTAATTGGTCAATTATAAATTTCCATTTTATTGGTCAAATTATCTTACACAATTTTATGGCAAGTTGGATTTGACCAAGACATATTACTCAATCAATCAATTAATGGTCAACTATACTTCAACAACATTGATGTCTTTTATGTTTTCATAAAGTGGTCGCTGGCTTTTCACCAACGTTTATGAAGTCCATTATCACATATGACTGTCAACTATGATTTCAAGAAAATTGGTCAGGCTTATTTTCACATTGTGCAACAAGACATATTGTTAATACATCACTGTAAAAACGTTGGGCAAAATGAGTTGATATGTAGGTAAACCAGTGTTGGTCAACAAATCAACAGGTTAAACTCTTGGGCAAATATTTCCCAATAGTTGGAAAATTGTTACCCGAATCAACCCACAATGAGGTATTTTAAAAACCAATGTTGGGTAAAATTGCATTGCCCAGCAGTGTTTTACCCAACATTTTAACAGTGATGTAGTTGTCGAGAAACTCATATAAATTCACAGTTATCACTTAAGCTCACGTCCTACATCACATTATGTCAAAACGAGCATCATAAATTTATGAAAGTATTAATCAGCACGTTACGCCCAGTTTATGAGCTTTGTGCCACACGGTTAAATATAATTTGGTCCGCCTTAAAATTTGCACTTATTGTTATTAGTTGCCAACTAATATATATTGTGGCATCAATAATGTGCCTGTGACATGGCCGACTGAGAGGACAACATACCCAACAGGGCGGATCCAGCAATTTTCGCAGTGTGGATTTCATAAGCAATTATTTCTGATATGTAGACAGGTTTTTTTTCTACGGACACTTGGCCTCCAGAAATCAATATGGGGTTTGGTTGTCTGGTGCCTTTCACCAAGTAATTGAGCACCAAAAGTTTAGGAAATGGCAACCGACTCACACTAAAACTGAATGACCAACTTGTGGACATTATACCTTAACCAAACATTTTAATGCCAACGTTACGTTGATCTGGTCAAATTTTCTACAATTCGTGTCCAATGCCTTTCACCAAATTAGGTTTTGGGTAAATATGATGGAAAATGACCAGCTTCTACTGTAACACTATGATTACCAAATTCTAGACACTTTAGCTTTACCCAACGTTTCAATGCCAAATGTAACCCGATTTAGAGGACAACAACTAATACCCAAATCAGCTTGGGCAAAGGACGTTCAAATGTTCTACAACAATTGTTGTCTTAATGCCTTAAACAAATGAGAGCACCCGGAGTTGAATAAATAATAGAGAGGTTGAGATTTCGAACCTGTACTTGTACGTATACGTGTATGTTTAGGCCTCCTGTCAGTTTGCCAACGACAGACACGATTTATCAGTTTTCATTTTAAGCGTATTTGGCCGATTTCATGCTTTAAAACCTAGTCGGCGTCAACTTTCGCCAGTTTTAAAAATACGCTTATCTTAGGATACCAGTATGTATGACGTCATTATTTCCACTCTGGCTGTGTCCTTCCTTTAAGACCTACAAGTAACGTCGTACGTGTGTAAGTGATTTTATAAGTTCACTGACACGTGTAGCTTTAGGATGCGTTTTTACGTTGGATACCTCGCAGTTTATACAATACATGTATTCATTGCTATTGTTCACCAGTATCGATTGCTGTCCATTTTGCCACACAGACTAGTCAGTTAATGAAACATACTCAGATTTGTAATAAAGAAGCTTGGCAGCACCTTTTAATGAAAGATTGGACTTTCCATGATCAACAGTGTAAATCTTGCGAGCGGAATTTTAAGCAGGGTAGTGCAAATTGCTGATGAACGGAGGAGAGGGCTTTCGCGCTGCTGACACAATGGGCCTACTGCATGCAGCTATAGTAAAGCAATTATAACGCGCCCTCGAGGATATTAGGAGACGGTGGAAAGGAAAGAGATGAAGACAAGCTAATTGTTGGCATATACTGTGTATGACTCTGGTGGTAGTTTTGATACATCAGTTTTGATAATTCAACACGTCCGGCCCACTACTATTCCGTAAGTGCCAGCCTATTATGTTTAAATGTTTGAAATATTTGGGAAATATTTGCAGGCAGAACAATTCACAAAATTTGTCTAAATTTCAAGATGTATTAAATTTGTAAAAATACCCTTAACATATTTTATGATGTACTTATGACTCGAGTCACATATCTTTGAAAATACAAACGTATTTGGTTGTCTGATTCGGTCACTTTCTTTTTGACTAACCGTAGTTGCAGACATGGCTGCGATGAGAAAGAAAGCGGTTCGATTTTCGGCACAGGATGACCTATGTCTGCTCCGAGAAGTGGTTGCTCAAAATCCCTTCAGCGACAAGGGGAAATGGGCGACAGTTGCCATGGAAGTGACATCAACGGTGGATCGTCAGGGTTTTGACGTTGATACGCGCAGAGTTCGAGAGCGGACCATCTTGTTACTGGAGCAGTTCAAAAAAAGTGACAACGATGCTGCAAAGAAATCAGGCACGAATGAAGAAGTGGGAGGGAAAGAGGAATTACTGCAGGAAATATTGGATCTGGCATCTGAGGAGGAAATAGCAAAAGAAACAGCAAAGAAGAAGAAGGAGAAGGAGGAGTCGAAGGCCAAGGAAATGAGAAAGCGAGCCATGGAAACTCTGCGTCCAGAAGTTTCTGAGGGGGAACCGGGACCAAGCTCTTGCAACAAAACAAGTGTTATTGCTTATCTTTCAGAAAAAGCACAGAGCGAGCAGGATTTACGGAAAGAAGAGCTTCAGCTTGAGAAGGAAAAGCTAAAGTTGGAGAAAGAAAGATTAGAGTTCCAGAAGGAAGAGCGTCGCCAACAACTAGAAATGGAGAAAAAAGAAAAGTCCATGATGTTTAAGATGATGCAGGCACTGATTGATAACGTAAACAAGGACTAGATTTGGAAAGAACAAACTTTTAGTTTAATTTAACCATCTTTTAGGTAAATTACTTTTCGAAAGGTTTTTCAGAAAAAAAGGACAAGTTGCAATGTAAATGTAAATGCAATCAGGCAGTGTTTGTTTTAGCATTATAATTTAAACCCTCAGTTTCTTTTGATGGGTGCAGATGATGCAAAATAAATTGTCAAAAGAAGCAAAAATATACATTTTGTTACATGACTTGATCAAAAGAAGTCGCGTGTTCATATAGCGAATAATGGTTTGATGTCAGCAAAGAAATCTGACTATTCCAAATGCATTAAAATTATTTGCAGTCTATTTTCTTCATTATGATTAGGCCTACATTCTAAATACATCGTACGGCAATTTTGAAAATAAAGTGAGGGCATTTTAATAACAGTCGCTTAATTTTGTGACTATTGGCAAAATTTATAATTTTATGCTTGTGTCAATTTAGTCGAGAACTTTCATGAATCTCGATTGCTGTTTAGAGTATGATGCACAAAAGAGGGGCAATCGTCAAGAGTGTTTTAAAAGAATATGTACTACCTTCAAAGACTGTATGATTGTTACTTTTTAAATCTTTGTGTCAGGCCGTTATATGTTGAATATCATTTGAAAAGAAAACGAAAACATGAAAAAATGCAAGATTGTTGGTTAAACAATAAAAGTAAAAATCGTTGCAGTACTTCTAATCGCTGTGAATCTATATGAAAAATATGGGCAGCCATTGTTCCAAAGAGAACCATAGCAAACTCGATAATTAGTGCTTCGAGTCAGTGTAAGTATTGTTCTAAAGTCGGTGCATCCACCTCGGAGAACGTCCCAGTCTCACTTCCGTACAAACATGTGTGGCAATTCGTGAGTAGTGCTCCAACCATGTAGTATTTACCGACAGGTTGGAGTAGCAGCTTCAGATTTTTCCGGAAATCCAGAAAGGCAAATATGGTTGTGATTTTGCCAAACGCCCATTCAACAGTCACGCGAACAGATGACATACATCTGTTGAACTCTTGCTCGTCCGGCGACAGCGCTGCTCCTTTGAACGGTCCTATCAAATGGGGACGAAGGAGGTATGCAGAGTCTCCATACAGTGAATATATTACGCCGTTGTCATCAGTCATGTATTGCTCAAGCTGTGGAAGCAGTTCACTTTCTCTCAGCATACCGGAGTCATGCCTTTTACCCTCCATCGGTCCAAAGAGGTTGGCAATCATTCCACCTGGTGTAACAACTGACTGGCACTTGATGCCGTGGATGCGTTTGTGCCCGTTGTACATAATTCGTTGATTTCGTGTTGGTCTGCAGATGGCTCTCACAGTTCCATCGATGAATCCCCAACAGTTTACCAGTGGTGCTCCTTTATTTGAGATACACTCTGAAAATGTGCGCAATTTGTCATGGTTTAGCCAGAATTGATTTAAATTTGACAAACGATGACCATGGTCATCAAAAATGAGACTTATCACTGTATTTATCACTCGTGAGAGTTCATATGCTGGACGTCCAAATATCGGGCAAAGGTCCTCCAGGCGATTAGGGTATGCAAGCCGTCTCAATACAGTGCAAAGCCCCTCCAGTCCTGCTACCACTGTACCGTTTGCGCAAATTATTTTATTCGGAAGTCCTAATGCCGAGAACAGTCGACGAACATCGGCCTTGCGAAATCGAAAAAGTTGTCGGCATTCGTGCTCCGAAAATGACGATAAATCGAATGTCCTCTTTGTGAAGACTATCTTAGGAACTGCTGGTTTCATTTACTCGGATAGCAGGATCAATTCATCATCGTTCGCAACAGCACCCAATAACCGCATCTCCGCAGCCATTTTGCGTGTTTGTAAGTCGTTGCAAGTGACATGCTTGACTGATCACTATAGACCTATGCATTGTGTGTGTCTCAAATGCTGTTCATGGTTGTTTTAAATTTGTAACAAAGGTTTGCCCATGCCTATCCTGGCAAAACAATGATGACCATTGCCCTGATCTAACTCCATCCAACGTAATGGATATACTGCCATTTTCCATTGATGTGATGAGAAGGGAATGCACATTGTACTTTTACTAGTTGAATTTGAAGACCTCAATTTTAAACATAGGTTAAAATGAAAAAAAAATAAGACTTTGAAATAGTCCATACAATTACATTTAAAATTGAGCATGCAAGATGTTATGGGTGTGTTCATCTTTTTTTTGTGAACCTTGAAGCAAACTTTCAAAGCAGCAATTAATGTATTAATCAAAGCGTATTTTGTGATGAGGACATTTCGAAAAGCAAAAGAGAAGAAACAACCGATTATTCAATAGGAGCTCCCCTTGAGATGTTTGTGGCAGCAATTACACACCGGTCCTTTTTCCATTGTTTGCGTCATACTGAGCATGCGCGCTTTGGCTTAAACATGACGTAAGCAACCTGATCGTGCCCCGTGGGTACGATATTGCAGCGCCATGTTGTTTCCCATCATGCCTTGCGCGATCATAACCCCTGGAATTGTGTAATTTAAATATACCGAAATACGGTATATTATAATTAGGGCTGCAGTTTATCTGTTTTACGTGCCGACGCCATCTTTAAAATGTTAATGTTGTGATTTTGAAGAATCAATCCTTACTCACAACGTTTGGACGTTGTGTTAATTAGCAAAGATTTGTATTAAATGTACGTACCCCTTTCGTGCCTTTACAACCACAGAAACAAGGTTTTTTTTAGCGGAAAACGCGGCTGACATAATCCATATCGTACAGGCATTGCGACTTTTGAATCATATTTTTTTTCGTACGTGACGTTGCGTGCAAAGCTAAGCACGCGAGCGCGAGCGCATTATGGGCGCGCCCGGCGTGCAATCTTCGAAATGCCCGCGCATTACGCTGGGAATAGCCATTCAGCGTCATTTACATCATCTTCACGGCCAGGGGTTAGTGTAAGGAACAAGCACGCACCCCTGGAGTCGAAGCTGTGACATAAGCGATTGAAAAAGGACCGGTATGTTTGCTGCCTGTTTTCAATACGTTAGCCACCGTTTCTACGAAGAATTTGGGTACGTCTTGCACGACTTCACTTCCACAAGTACACGCACACGTATACGTTTTGAAATCTCAACCTCTCTATTATGAAAAAAAAAAACATCTTCACTAAAAAGAACCGACATCCGAACATTTCAGTTTTACCCAAGGTTTTAATGCCCAATGTTACCCGATTAAGAGGACCCAAAAAAAACTCAGTTAGGGTATGGAAGTTACGGTGATCTGGTCAAATTGTCTAACAATTTTGTTTGATGTCTTTCACCAAATAGAGCAACCGGTGTTGGGTAAACATTATGAAAAATTCCAAACATCATTCTTCAACAAAAAATGACCAACTTCTAGACAATTTACCTTTACCTAACGTTTTAATGACCAACGTTTATACAGTGTAGTGTTGCTCGTTATTGTCTAGTTTTTAGTTGATCACACGTTTCAATGTTTTCTCGTTCTTTGTCATGATTGTTGTCTCTTGATGGTTTTTGTTCTCTACGCCGACGCTTCAGATGTGTGGGGGTTGCTGTAAAGCAGCTTACAGTGCTCGTATTGTACTTTTCCCACTATACCTAATTCGTTTTGTTTAATAATAACAATGATGATAATAATAATTATAATTACCAATAATTGGGTATTAGTGAGACATTCGCATAGACTCTTGCGTACATTTTTTAACCTTAACGACCCTAACCACAATTTTACCTTATTTTACCTCCCACGAATGTCGGCATTTTTTACACTTTGGACCACTAGCAATCGGTGTAGCCTATTTGCGACGATACAATTGTGCCTCTAAGTAGGGGCTGTAGAATTAGGATGACATTGAAATGTCTACCTAATTCCACATGTATCCCTATAATGTATAACTTAAGAAGTTAAAGTGTCTCCCTAAGGTTATACTCGTAATTATAATTAATAGAACAACCATCTAAAGGTACGCTTAGTGACTCTTTATATTGCTAGGCCCCTTTCTTGGAACGTAAAATTCAACCGTTTTATCTTTAGGGAAACACCCACATAATGAAAAAGCAGTCTTTCCAAAGTATACATTCTTACACTAATTATAGTTTCCAAATGTATGCGCTTTAAACTTCATTTTATTCATTCATAGATACCCTACCTGACGACAACTCTGTTTGGAATCTATCTGAGAAGATTGGAACAGACTGGGGCCGATTGGCCTTGAAATTGAATTTTGTCAAAGAAGATATTGATATATTTAGGGCTAATTATTCCAACGATATTGTAAGGCAGTGCTTTGAGATGTTAAGCTCATGGTGGAGAAAACAGACAGATTACCCAGAAGCATGGTGGACGTTCAATGAGGCTCTGAATCGTTCGGGTCGGAACGACTTGGTTCGAGACACATCAGGTATATCCGGTAAGTAAAGCGGTAAGGAAGAGCAAACAAATAAAACCATGAAGGATGGACCTATGAAATAGAATTTGATTCATGCATGAATCAAATACTAATAATATCAATTCCAATAACGAGGTTACAACAAATATTTTCTTTCTGATGAAGACTTTAAGGATGGGCCAGTCATGAAAGGTAACAATCTTTTGCATGTGATGCTAAATTTGCAATCGCACTAAAAATAGTAAATTAATGTTTGTATCCATTGTGATCAATGTGATGTTTGCTGCCTACCTAAAAGTTATACATTAACTGGACCAGCAGGTATACAATAATTCTATAAAAAAATGTTATTAGCACAATTCGTAGTTTGTCCTCGCAGATCGTCAGTATCAGGCTGAATGTTACTTGTCAATGTAACTCTGTGGTTTGAGTCCTCATTGAGCCGTATATAATCTCCCCAATACCTTTATACAGAACAAATGACATAAAACGATTCGTTCCCCCCCCCCCCCACAAAAATGATAGGCCAGATTTAAGCTGTGCAATGTTTCCTTTAGATGTAGTTTTGAAAATGACTATGCCGCCTCGTAAAAGTACATGAATGACGTATTAAACGTATTTTTCTTTTTTTAGAAGAACAACCTCGTGTGGGTGTAATCGCAACAGTGAAGAGGGGAGAGGAAGAGGACGAAGACTTGGACAAACAATTTATAGCTTACACGCTCCGCTTATT